CTGCAGGTGCTGCAAATCAAAGTCTTTCCAGAACTGACACACTGACTGCGTACTCGCAGCCATCTTGTACGAGTTTTTAGGGTCAATCGTGGTCACATGACCACTGGGAGAAATCAATAAAATCTCGAGCACTTATCAAAACAAAGAAACTATATTACAAGCAGAAATATTTTTTTTAAGTGTACTTTTCCTTTTACGAGGTAATTTATAACATTAAAATAGGTAAATTCTATCGAACAACCAAATTGAAAGTAGAAAATTTGCCACCGGGTTAGAGATTATAATCAACATGGCGTCTGTTGACAATTGGCGCACACGTTTAAATGATCTGAAAATATTTAAACAACTGCGAGAGAACAATAGCACAGATTCAAAACAGAAGAAAAAATCATACTCCAAAAGTCTGCTTAAGATTCTGGACAGTGATCTATATGTTTGGGATGGATATGCCTCTCAGTTATTGAATTACGATGTGAAGAACCTCCACACTGACTCTTCAGAAAAGAAATCCCGATTTCAGGTTGTAAATCAGTTGATTAACTTGTCTTTTAATAATTAAGTGGGTTTAAGCTACCAAATTATGTTTGTTTTTGAGTTTTTATCGCACTGTAAACACTGTAAAACGTGTGACACAAGTATTGTTTTGTGTACGCCTACTTTCACTTTTGATAGCGGTTAGACTTTGAAAGTCGACGTTCATTGCAACAATGGGCATACAAATTTTATTATCCAAACATGAATTAGGCCTAAATAATGTACCAAAATGATGCCGATCTGGTCCATCATGATTTTAAAGAATAACATGTTTTACATTGGGACCGTTGGGGCGAGCGCAGTTGTACCATCAAATTACACTTGTAAACTTTGATCCGCCTCTTCAAACTTCCAAACCACAAAAGACACAGTTTAGACTGTGACGTCATATGACGTCGGAATTTACGGAGACAGCCAAGCGTCTGGTTGAATGAGGCTACAGGCCTAGTGCAGATTTTAACGAAATACGTTGTAGAGTAAATGCATTTATTTTTTTGTTAATTTTAAGCTCTAGGCAAACTGCAGGCCTTTTAGATTTTATATTATTCTTATCGCCATTATTGCATGGAATCCTGGTAGTGATGAAATTCTGGGAAGGTTTAAAACTAAAATTTGCCTGATGTAAAGGTCATTCCGAATTTCCTCTGTCCTTACACATTAGTCTATTGAGCTTGCTTCGCGAGCGGCGCTATGGCTGCTTGCTGCACTCACTATAAATTAGTTATATTGTTATTTAAACTCCAAATTATACTATAAAAGGATTCGACAGACCATTTTGAGCTTCAATGTACTTTCCACCCAAAGGATGAATCTATGCAAAGGAAAACAAAATCAACACATTTCTCAACATATTTTTCCCCTTTTGTATAATCACTTTTATCTGCCATGTTGACATTTGGAATTATCTAAATTGTTCATAGTATTTGCATAGATTAGAATTAGCAGTCTAGTTAATTTTCTACATTGCCAATGCTAGGAACAAATTCTATGGTTAATCCATTAATATCAATTTAACAACAAAACTCTTTATCAATGGATTTTGTATGCTTTTGTCTAATTACCGGTAGACATTTTTCTAACAGCAAGAAAATCATAAAGCTGCTTCTAAACACGTTGACATAGTAAAAAGGCAAATAAGTTGCAACATGTTTCAGCATCATGTACTTAGTTTAGGAATACTTGTTGGCATTTCAGAATTATTTCTTTCATTTGATAGTGATGATAGTGAAAAAACTTTTTTTTTGGATTTTTTTAATTCAATTCAATTACTAAACGAAAACACCTTCAATACTCTGGTTTCAAAATTGAAGAATTTTATAAGCACCCATCAATTACTAGAACTTGGACAGAAATGTGTGCAACTGAACTTTCTCATCTCAAATATCAGACTAAGTGCAGAGTTGTGGAAAACTTTTTCAGATAGCTAGTCATTCAGACTGGCAGGAAGACAAAATAAGCCAATCTGAAGTGAATTTAGCCAGTCCAAAATTTTACGTCACAAATTAAAAGTAAAAAAAAAAAACAAAAAAACATAACATTTATTTACTTCATTAAATATCTTTTTACTTCATAATGATATAACATTTACTCAGTCTCAATTTCTAAGTCCTCGACTGTTTTCAGTTTTTGCATTTACAATGTATAGCACAGTACTAGATTTACCGCTTTTGGGCAGGTGACAATGCTAATTCAGCATAGTATACCTAATTTTGTTGAAACATTTATGCATTGGGAAATTTATGTCCACCTAGAAAATGTGTCTAAAAAAATTGGAAGAAATTCTGTGCATCTTTTAAATTCATAAAGAATGAAAAACGAAATCTGGGACAATCATGCAATTAGGAGTACTAGATTAACCACTTGCCCCAACTGTGTTTGAATTCTGTCTATCGAGATTTTTCATATTTAGCTTTGTCTTCATCTGCTACTTTATGTTTTTTACCTGGTTTTGCTCCATTTGTAAATTTAATGGACCACAACGCCATGCTGGTTTTGCTTTCATTAGCCTATGAAAAAGTATTAAAATACTGAAAGTATTAAAACTACTAAAATCGCACTTTTATTTATTGGACTGGGAAGTGTGCTGATGATAACAGGAAAAACAAAAACAAAACTTTACCCCAAAAAAGGGATTGTCATTTGGACCGACATCGATGGCGTTTTTTCCGGTCACATGCATTTTTAATCAGTTTTGCTGGCATGACCAGCAGTTTTCCACAACTCTGCAGTGATATCTAAATACTTTACTTATGAAATTGCTATAGCTGAAGGAAGTGTAAAAATATATACCGGGTATGTTAAAGAATATAAATTTCAAGAGGTTTTTGTGTCTCACTGATACAGTTAAAATAACTTGGTATGCGTATATATTTCTGTATTTTCAGACCTTGTTGTGTACAGATCCTCCACGATATGACATTGACAGTATTGAATTTAACAGTACAAAAAGTTTTCTGGCAGTATGGGGAAGCTCAGGTGTCATGGTTATGGAAATGCCCCAGAGATGGGGGAAGTATTCAGAATTTGAGGGAGGAAAACCAGTAGTTATTTGCAAGTAAGACATGGAAGTAGATCCTCTTTTCTATATAACAGCGGGTTTTCTTGGCGGGTGGAAAATTTGGTGTTTTGCTTGGCTAAAAGTATATGCCAATAATTTTGGCGTAATTTATCTTCGCAGACACAGGGTTCCAACTCTGCAAAATAACACTGTAAGAAGAACACTGAATATTTTAGCGATTAAAATTTTAGCGGAGTACTACCAAAACGCCAAAATAAGCCAAAATTAGCATCCCCGATATATGATAGCCTATGTTACTGTATTCTCATTTCAATGCTAAGCTCAAGCTCATTAGAATTTTTATTTTAAGTAATATCACTTTTTACTCTTATCAATTTTTATCTTTTACATGATATTTGTATGTGTGTAACACAATTTCAGAACAACTAGTGTTGCAGAGCATTATTTTGCCAGTCACAAAAGTGTACAGGTTCTTCATGTTGCCTGGCATCCTGGCAGTGAAACTGATTCTCACCTCACAATTCTAACGTCAGACAATATCTTAAGGTATATATTTATTCTCCAAACTATTTGATAATACACATATTATTTGGTATTCTTTCAAAATTTTCTAAGAGATTTCTAGCATGTCTGCTTCTCAATTTGTTACCAAAAAATGCAATTTTATTGCACCATTCTCATCAATATTTACCTATTTGGCTCTAAAAATGACTTTTTTTTATTTGATAATGTTTTCCTTTAGTACGTACGATTTGAAAGAGCCAGATGTTCCGATTCACACAGTGAAGCTAGGCGATTCTGTGCAGGAATTAACAGACTCCTCAAACAAGCCTTCTTACAGAGCGGCGCTAGGCGAGGTAGCAGCCTCTTTTGACTTCGGTCCTTCAGTGGAACTCCGAAGAAAGAACCGTCTTCACTCAACTCTTGTTAATCCTGATGTAGTCTGGCCAGCTTATATAGTGTATGGGAATGGTGATGTCAATATAGTGTACACTGATGTCACTCCAGATCCTGCAGGGTATTTGTGTTTTTTGTATCAGTATTTTGGCCTCCAAGTAGCATCCTCAATTTCATTTGCAGTTTTGTATTTTGCTAATACATATACTTTGTAGAAAGTTATGCTGAAATGCATTTTGTTGGGCAGTACTTACTATTTGTACAATGCATAATAAATATTTGTAGAAAAACGCATTGTTTGTTTTTACTGCAGCATCAAGCGACTGAGTACCCAGGGGCCTTTATTGATGCACCCCCCGGCTGAGGACAACTATGGATTTGATGCCTGCTCTATAGCTGTTCTTGATACTAATCCACCAGTGTTAGTTATGGCAACAAGAGATGGAAAACTCCATCACTGTCTGGTGATGCAGGCCGACTTAAAGGATACCACTCTTCAGGTTTTATCAAGATGTTTATGTTCTAATACAGAATAGAATATGTCAAAATTTATTTAACCTTATAAACAACAAGGATTTTCTTACAAATAGGGTCAGGGGCAATTATAGTAATTATTTTTATTATTTCACTGATTTATCTGTTACTGAACCTTATATGCTATCTTAATTTCTATATTTCTATTTATGTGAGACTGTCTGCTCAAGAAAATTTCATTCTTGTGTATATTTTTAGTATTGAAGATTATAAACAACAAATAAAAATTCAAGAAAATTTTGTCTTGGTCATAAACCAAATAACTAATCTCATGAAAATAAGATGTCATGAAATTTTGGTGATCTACTGTATGTGGTTGCTGAAAATTATCAATGCATTTATGAATAAACTATGGCCATACTTTGAAAAATATAGGTCCAATGACATGAAATAATATATTTGTATAGTTATTTCAACTGAGATATATTTCAGTCTGAGAGTCACTCGGAGAGTTCCACTGACATGAGTCTACTGTACGAGGCCCCAGAGGAAGAGTCACTGTACGTGTATGAAAGTGTGGAACTGGAGCTATCCCTGACAACAAGTTCTGTAGAAACTGACGAGTACATAGAGGACACCTTTACCTGTCCAATCAAAATCATCAAAGGTAATCTACGTTGAAGTGGCTTTAAAGAAAAATACACCTGTATATACATCTAACTAAATTATTGAACAATAGCTTACTTAACTGTTTTTCTGTTGTATTATTTTCCACGGATGATGCATCTGAGAATGTTTGCTACCTGATATGATTTGGATACTGCATTTGACCTGTATTTTTAGCTCTTCTGAGCCAAAGGCTATGGCCATTTGTGCGGTTTGCTTAAAATTTTGGGAATATTGGCTATCTCTAAAGAACATATGCAACATACCTTACTTACTGATAATTTTTCAAGATATTCTTAATTTAAAATGATAGTGCCATCAGATGTATGTAGACAAAAAAATCAGCATGTATTACCAGGGGTTTTGAAAAGACATCAATTGATGAAAATTCTTGTATAATTCAAAGAAAAATATACAAAAATTACTAAACATATATTCTAGATGTTTTGTTTATCCAAACTTGTTTTAGAAGAAGTGTACAACAGTATATATAGACATTAAAATGTAGCCTAGTTCCCTCTCCCTGTTATGCTTTGTACACTCTGCGACACTAGGACCAGGTGGACTACAATGGATTCAGGGCGAATCTGCCCTGAATCTGAGCCAATTGTGACGTCATATTTAGCTGTGCTTCCGGTGTAGAAGTTCATTATGACGTCGTATTTTTCTACGCCGTTGATGCAACGTATCATTGTGACGTCAATATTTATTTCCTGGTTTATGGCAACAGCTCAAAAATCCATGATTTAGCGCAAATTGTTCTGACCAATCAAGGGACAGCACTGATTGTAATCCACCTGAAAAGGATGAGCCAGAGAACCAATGGCTAATTAAATCAAGTTCAAACTATGTTTCGTATGTTCTTAAGAACCCCTTGGTCAACTTTTGTCAAATTTGTCATGGAGTATCCTTGACCCAAGGACTTTCATTTATACTAAAAATAGGGATGTGACCCTTAAACAAGGGCAGATAATTAAGGAAATTAAAACAAACATAGTGGTTCGTAAAAAATCATCTTCTCAAGAACCTCCAAGCAGATTATCAAAGATTATCTTATGCATAAGTATGAGGATATGTTGTAGATTAAAAATTGTCATGCTTTTTGTCTGCTGCTTTTGCAAAAATGAGGGGACATTTATCTCATTAGTCTGTCTAGCTGTCAGTCTGTCAAAAAAACTTTAACCTTGGTCATAACTTTTGAATGAGGAAAGATAGGGCTTTCATATTTCAAATGTACATGACCTGTGACAAGACCTTTGCAAATATACTATGATTTTTGACATAGTGACCTTGACCTTTAAGTTTGTCTTACTTTTCAAAAATTTTAACATTGACAACTTTTGAATGAGAGAAGATAAGGCATTCCTAAAATGCATTACCTGTTATAAGACCTTTTCAAGTGTACAGTAACTATGCTTTTTGATCTCATGATCTTGACCTTGAAGTTTAACCTACAGTATTTTTCAAAATTTTAACATTGGTAGTTACTTTTGAATGAGAGAAGATAGAGCTTTCCTATTTTACATGTGTATTACCTGTGACAGCACCTTTCAGAAAGAACCATCATTTTTGGACTTCATGACTTTGACCTAGAAGTTTGACCTACTTATCCAAAGAAAGTTGGCGTACAAGGCAATGACAATACCCCAATCTGAGACGATATTTTTCTCAATTTTCAAAGTTCACATAAAAGTTTGTTTTTTTTTTAATTATGTTTTCAGTAATGGCATCTTCAACAGATTTGATTTATTTATTTTATTAAATGACTTGTTGGTTGATAATTTGTATTTAAAGTTGCCAGTAGAGCATATTTACTGGAAAATGGGTTTATTGGAGCCAAACAAAATAATTTTTGAATATGAATGGGTCTAGTCTCCATTCTACATTAATGTTTAAATGAAGGAAAACTAAATGAAAATCTCTTTTATGTTTTTAAAAAATGAAGTCTGAACCCATTCTACATGAAAATAGAACATTTCTGGAAAAAAAATACTCTTTAACAAACTCAACATTGACACACATCAATGGCAAGAAGAGTTAGTGGCACAGTGGTTAACGTGTTCAGTCTTAAGCCTAACCGTGAGGTTTGGAGAGGGTTAGGGTTGGAATCATGTAAGAATTTTTTTTTCTTCTCACATACCTTAAACACGTATGTAAAAAAATAATTAATTATTAATAAGTTATTCAATAAAATAAAGGAAGCTAATGTGTAAAAGATGATATTGACAATACAATTTTTGAAAAATGTTGCTTTTCATGAACTGTTAGAATGGAGAATCATCTTTTTTCAGAGCGGGGAATTGTCCTTGTGCATTTTACACCTCCATTCTTTCAAGTTTGGATGTCACTTTTTCTCCAGAAGAGACAGGGCATTCATACTTTTTTTTCCACAGACATTACTTGTAACAAGACCTTTTGGATTTTATTATAATATTTGGCCTCATGACTTTGATCTTGAAGTTTGATGCACCTTTAAAAAACTTTAATCTTGGCTGTAACTTTTATTAATTCAAAAAATTTATTTTTCTATCATGGACAGACAAGACAGAACACATGAACAAGACAGTTACAATATGCCATTAATAATTGCATCCTAACCATTAAGACACCAAAAGCGGGGGACAACAATTCTTTGAATTTGCTTGTTTAAGCCCATAAACAAAAATGACAAGTTTGATAGACTTATTAAACCATGCATGTGATAAGTCTTTGATTTTCCAAACTTTCTTCCTGATTTGATGTAAAGAAGAGGTGAATTTTTTTTTACATGTAATATTTGGTCTACATTGCATGGTAATAAAACTTCATAATATTTGAGGATGCTTGTCTTTCCTGTCAGATGTAAGCTTTTTAATTAATAATAATCAATAGTCATACCTACAAAGACAGTTGACATAGCTTCTCAAATGAAGTGAATTTCTTGATAAAAGAAAACACATCTAGATTAACTTTATCAATATCCTAACATTTTTTTTTGTTTTAAACTTGAGGAATTGCTCTAGCTTTCATTTAGCAAATGTTAAAATGAGCAAGCTAAGATGTCAAACATTTCAGCTTTAATGCTTTAACAGAAGAGAAAAAAACAGAAAAAGCTTCCAAAATACCAGTCAATAAACTCTGTAGAATGCCCTTTTGTAGTTACAGCATTGCTATCAGTAGTGATCTTGGTTGTGTAGTTAAAATGTGAGAAGAAAATGATGAATATGTTTACATTGTTTATGTTGGACTCCAAAATGGACAGATGCTTATTGTTTATGTGGGGCCCAAAAGACAAATACCAGTATAATGTAAAACTTCATTTTGTTTGTACATGTATATATAATGTTAAGAATATGATATTTGCATAATGTTGAAAAATTCCAAATGGAAACTTTAAAAATAAAGTCTCTTAAACTTGTGAACAGTCTGTGAATGTGCATCCCTTTTTTTTTCTGGCTGTTAATGGAGTTTCTCTTGGCTCCATTCATTAGTTTCAAATTAATTGGACTCCACCAGTTGTTATTTTGTCGCAATTAATGCAGGTCATCATGGGATGAGGTTTGTTGTGTAATTGTAGTTCATTAATGTTGATATTTTAGGCACAGCTTCACCACAACAGTAAACAAAATTATTCAATAATAAGTCGATGTTTGTATGTGCATTATAATCACAGGTCCATTGTGGCAGTTCATTTACGTTTTAATTTATTGCTTTAGTGCACGCTATTCAGTTTTTTGCGAATGGAGATAAACCCTTTTTTTTTTAAAAGTAATATGTTTTTGCATTCAGCTTTCTATGCCCTTAATTAGATTTTCCAGATATTACTAGGAATTATGAATTTTGAGAGTTTATAACTGACAAGAACTGTTAATCATTTACTCTCAGTAATATGTTAAAATTTATTTACCATATCCGTGGATTACCAGTCAGTGTTAATTTTACTGGACAGATCATTAGTTAAATAGAAAACAGAAGATAATGAGTGGTGAACACTTAAACCAATGATGGCATGCAAAGCCATTTTATCTAGTGTCAAGAATGTTTACAAAGGCATTCATTGGGCGCCTTTAGTGACTTCTTTGGACTTCTAACCCAAATGTAGAAAAATCAGCTTTAGAAGATAAATTTTGTTCCTGTTTTTAATAAAAATGCATTACATTTAATGTGAATTAAGGTTTTCTTTTGTATTTCTGACTAATTGTATTGTGTTTTTAGCTCTACTGGTCAGAGACCAGAAGAGCTTATGCGATAGTAAGGTGTCCGTCGTCCGTCCGTCTGTCTGTCTGTCTGTCTGTCTGTCCGTCTGTCTGTAAACAATTTTTCAAAACGCTACTCCTCCTACAGTTATGGTCCGATTTCAATATAACTTGGCACACAAGTAGACTACACTAAGATACATAATTTAGTGCATCGGTTTTTGATTTCGATGGACGGTGTTGCCATGGTTACTAAAAATAGAAATATCTGTGAAATTTCTTTAAAACGCTACTCCTCCTACAGTTTTGGTCTGATTTCAATATAACTTGGCACACAAGTGGACTACACTAAGATACATAATTTAGTGCATCGGTTTTTGATTTCGATGGACGGTGTTGTCATGGTTACTAAAAATAGAAATTTCTGTGAAATTCCTTTAAAACGCTACTCCTCCTACAGATATGGTCCGATTTCAATATAACTTGGCACACAAGTAGACTACACTAAGATACATAATTTAGTGCATCGGTTTTTGATTTCGATGGACGGTGTTGTCATGGTTACTAAAAATAGAAATTTCTGTGAAATTCCTTTAAAACGCTACTCCTCCTACAGTTTTGGTCCGATTTCAATATAACTTGGCACACAAGTAGACTACACTAAGATACATAATTTAGTGCATCGGTTTTTGATTTCGATGGATGGTGTTGCCATGGTTACTAAAAATAGAAATTTCTGTGAAATTCCTTCAAAACGCTACTCCTCCTACAGTTTTGGTCCGATTTCAATATAACTTGGCACACAAGTAGACTACACTAAGATACA